TGATCAATGGGAAGTAAATCACCCAACGTTTCTCCCTGAAAATCAGAGTTAAGTTTGGAGCACGGCCACAGCCCCAGAAACACAAGGACTTAATGCAGAATGCAGCAGCTTGGAGCAGAAAAGTGAACGGACTATGCATTAATCCAGGCCATCAAGTCTGCCCGGAGGGGAAAGGGTGTTGCCCCATTTGCCCTCTCTTCTCTGGAAAGAAGGATGGCGGCCACATGGGAGCCTTGTGGACAGAAGGTATGAGCTGGGGGTGAGGGGGCAACTAAAACTTCATGGGAAGGGGGGCGTTCGGGTCCGTCCTTCACGCCCTACCGAGGCCACCAGTTGCCCCCCCACGAGCGGCTCTCCAGCATGGCCACAGCCCCAGAAGCACAAGGACTTAATGCAGAACCCAGCAGCTTGGATCAGAAAAGTGAACGGACTATGCGTTAATCCAGGCCATCATGTCTGCCCGGAGGGGAAAGGGTGTTGCCCCATTCGCCCTCTCCTCTCTGGAAAGAAAGATGGCGGCCACATGGGAGCCTTGTGGACAGCAGGTATGAGCCGGGGGTGTGGGGGCGACTAAAACCTCATGGGAAGGGGGGCGTTTTGGTCCACCCTTCACGCCCTACCGAGGTCACCAGTTGCCCCCCACGAGCGGCTCTCCAGCACGGCCACGACTCCAGAGCACAGAAACCAATCTCTTAATTATCTGACTTTCAGTAGAAATACATCCAGTGTTAATAAGTAAAATAGCAGAAATCCAAAACCAACATTTAATTCTTGAACCCAGCTGTAGAAAGCAAATCACTTCACAATGCTTTTTCAGCATGTCTGATTTGGGGGTGGGTAAACTCTAAATAACAGTGGTGAATCTTTTATTGAAACAATGAATCTAATCAAAGCAGATAGAGTGTTAACTAGAACTCATCTGCCTCACAGGGACTGGGAGGGGTGAGGGGTGGGTTTTTATTGGGGTTCTTCATGGTAAAAAATAAGTATTGGTAAAGGGAAATGTGTTTGATATTTGCATGACTGAGACCTAAACCTGAAAGCTTTGTAACTTTTCCCACGGTGATTCAATAAATAAATAAATTAAAAAAAAACTAAACTACCTTAATATGTTTTAATAAAAAATAAACTACTTTTATGTGTTCAATAATCTAAAAAAATTATTTAACTATTATATAGTAGATGAATATTAAGATGGTCAATATTATCAGTAGAATGAAGGGAAAATTAAATGAAACTTTACTTTTATCTGTTAGTTTGGCAGACATATTACCAAGAGTATGAGTGAACACTGATATGAAAAAGAATTCCTTACTGGATGGCTACATGCAAAAAAATGGGCTCAGAACTCTGCCTAATGTAAGATCAAAATGGATTAAAGACCTCAACATCAGACCAGAGACCATAAGGTACATTGAAAACAAAGTTGGCAAAACCCTCCATGCCATTGAGGCTAATGGTATTTTCAAAGATGCCACACCACTGGCCGAGCAAGTGAAAACAGAGATAGATAAATGGGACTATCTTAAACTAAGAAGCTTCTGCACCTCAAAAGAAACAGTGACCAAAATACAAAGACAGTCTACAGAATGCGAAAGGATATTCGCCGAATACACATCTGACAAGGGGTTGATGTCAAGGATATACAAAGTACTGGTTGAACTTCACAAGAAGAAAACATCCAACCCCATCCAAAAATGGGGCAATGAAATGAACAGAAACTTTCTCAAAGAAGGAATCCGAATGGCAAAAAAACACATGAGAAAATGTTCTACATCATTAATCATCAGGGAGATGCAGATCAAAACCACAATGAGATACCATCTCACACCTCAGAGACTAGCCCACATTCAAAAGAACAAAAGCAACTGATGCTGGCGTAGATGTGGCGTGAAAGGGACACTCCTGCACTGTTGGTGGGAATGCCCACTGGTTCAGCCCTTTTGGAAAACAGTATGGACGGACGTTTCTCAAAAAATTAGAAATTGAGCTCCCATTTGACCTAGCAATACCGCTCCTGGGAATATATCCCAGAGAGGCAAAAATGTATAGTCGAAGTGACATCTGCACTTGTTTGTTCATTGCAGCACTCTTTACAATAGCCAGAAACTGGAAGAAACCTGAGTGCCTAAGAACAGATGACTGGTTAAAGAAACTTTGGTACATCTACACAATGGAGTACTATGTAGCTCTTAGAAAAGATGAAGTCATGAAATTTACATACAAGTGGTACAATATGGAAAGTATCATGCTAAGCAAAATGAGTCAGAAAGAAAGGGATAGAAAAAGAAAGATTGCATTCATCTGGGGGATATAAAGTAACAAAATATGAGATTAATACCCAAGAATAGCTGAGATCAACACTAGGAGGATTACTCCATAGCTTAGAGGCCAGCCGGGTATTCTAGGGGAAAGGGCAGTTCAGATAGAGAAGGGAGCACCAAATAAAGGGTGTTTGGAGGATCCTCCCAGGATGGGAGATGCATGTTGAAAGTAGACTATGGACTGAACATGTTTGCCACTCAATGCCTCTTTTGCAGACCACAACACCCAAAAGGAGAGAGAGAACAAAAGGGAATGCCCTGCCACAGAGGCAGGGTGGGATGGGGGGGATGGGGGAGGGAGGGATATTATCCATGGTGGTGGAAAATGGGCACTGGTGGAGGAATGGGTATTTGATCATTGTATAACCAAAACCCAAGCACAAAAATTTGTAAATCTACAACTGTACCTCATGGTATTTCACTAATAAAAAAAAAAGAAGAAAAAGAGTTCCAAGTAATTTTGATAAATAAGACTTTTTTTCAGAAAAAAAATCTTATTTAAAATATCAACCCCTAGGGAAAGTTACTTATTTCAGTATTTAAACCAACAGAAAATATTCAAGGACACACACCAAAAATGCATCTACTCCCTGTCAGAAAAGATCACATGGCAATGATGGAAATGAGAAAGATAGGAGATTATATCTAGATGTTACTGTTGGAATTTGATATAAAGACAATATTCAAATATTGCTTATGCAAATTAAAATAAAGAGAAGCTCACAAACAGTCCATTAGATTTTTCTTATAAACTCCTTTACAAAAAGTATGAATAAATTATTTCCTAAAACTTATCTCAAGTCATTTTTCAATTTGAACAGTTAAACCTAGTGGTTGGCTCTCCACTAAAGCTTTTCCCCCTCAATGGAAAGAAATTCAGGTCCATGTAGTAGAGATCATCAAAAGAAGAAGGAGTCTAGAAAATATGCCACAAAATATGCTAGAAATATTTAAAAAATAAACAAGATCCATTCCATTTAGCAAATGAATAAAATCATCATACAATGCCAGCACTTGAGAGCAAAGGCCAAGAAAAGGAACCTTTACCTGAAGGCCTTTTTTTCAGCTCATGCAGAATCATTCTCTAGAATGGAATTTCTCCTTTGGGAAAAGAACGGCACCTTCCTGAATGACGATTTAAAAAGCTCATTGGTCAGAAGCTTAGAAAGCTCTGAAAACCCAATATTCAGAATTGGCAAGGATTAAAAGGGATTTAAAGTGCTCCCAGATTCTTTGGCAACAGGGAAGAGCACAGCATAAAACTTGCAAGTTTGGGGCCAGTGTGATAACGGGGAAAGCACTTGTCTTGCACGCACCTGACCTGGGTTCAATCCACAGCACCACATAAGGCTGAGCCCTGCCAGGAGTAACCCCCAAGGATCGCTGGTTGAGAACAAAAAATTTAAAAAAAAAGAGAGAGAGAGAAGAAGAAGAAAGAAAGAGAAAAAAACAACTTGCAAATTTCCCTCCAGGAATGAATAAGGCAGCTCACAGCATGGGAAATGTCTCAGTGAGGGAAACAGTCCATGCTTAAAGGTACCCAACACACCTTGCCACCAAGACCTGGCCTGCCCACAAGGGAAGGATGTTTGAGTCCTGCCTTTCCTTTGATCTCTGGATATGGACAGTTACTACAGACACAGCGATGATACTGGCTTAGCATCTGCAGTGCTTTCTGGAGTTAGAGCACAAACCAGGTGAAAGCAAAGTCGGGGCTGGGAGGTAACTATATAATTATTCTCCGTGAAAGCAGGTCTGGGAGTACCTTGGCCTCTACAGGTGGAACCCAAATGCCTCAGCAGTTATGGGGGTGCCTCTGCCCCATAGGTGGTGCCCAAATTCCAAAAAGACTCAGTTACAACTCCACACAACCAAAACCAGGGTTCTTCTTGGGAGCAATAAGCCGCCCCCCTTCCTCTATCTCCCTAGAGGCCTGGGTGAGGCTTGATCTCTCTGACAAACCCTTCTCCATAGCCTAAAGTGGTAGCCACTAATTTCACCACCAGAAGAGTCACCATTATGACATGGAGTAACTACAATAATTGCAAAAACTCTTCACTGTGCAATGAAAGCATGCCAATCAAATAAAATGTTAGAAAGTAATGTTGATAAACTCTATAGAGAGTTTATTAACAGCTGCTTGGTTATTTAGAAACCCCTGTTAACTTTTTTTAAGGAATATGTGTTGACTCATTTCCTCCTTAAAGAATTCACAATTTTATGAAAATATCATGCACTGTACAGTATGTAAACTCCAACACACACACACACACACACACACACACACACACACACACATACACACACACACTAAGATCCAAAACAGCCGGATCAAGATACTATGCACCATGAAGAGCTAGTACTGTGGAAACTCAAACATTAGGCTTTTAGATGTGGGTTCGTTTGGCTCCCCTTACCCCCAGTTGTTTTTCTTTTTGAGGCCACACCTATGGGCATTAGTGGCTATTCCTTGCTCTGTGCTCATAAGTGACCCATTGGTGGTATTCAGTGGACTACAACAGGCTCCAGGGAGCCTAACCAGGGTCGGGCGCACGCAAGGCAACCACTTTGCCTCCTGTACTATTGCTCCCCCTCTAGGCTTTCAGAACATCATCACCTCTAACAGTTCAAGAGCACATGAAAATCAGTTTACAGGTGAGAAACAAGACTCAGTACCTGGTGAAAGCCGGGCTGTGTTCCGTCAGCGCTACCAGCAGCTTCAGTGCGTAGGATGGCACTGGGTCGGGCTGCGTGAGGATGTGCTCATACCTGAGAAGAGAAGGGGATTTTACAATTTACTTGGTGCATTTCCTCACTTAAACTCCTGCTAAACAACAGAAACACTAGGCCACAAGGACAAGGACCTGGATGGACAAAATTGGGAGCTGGAGAAGCTGTACTTTATTTCAGGAAACTTCAAACAGCTTCACTTGTTTTTAGGAGGTGGGAGTAGAGATGGGGTTGGTGGATTGGGAGGCTACACCCAGCAGTTGGTCAGGGGCTACGCCCAGTTCCATGTTTGTGGTCACTCCAGGAGGTGCTCAAGGGTCACTCCTGGAATTGCTTGAGAGACAGTTCAGTGTCAGACATCAAACCCAGGCCTCCTACATACAAAGTATGCGATCCAGCCTGTTAAACTATCTCTCCAGCCCCCAAGAGCTTCCCTTTTTTGATGGTAGTGCTGATACTCTGCCTCACATGAGTGTTGTCTGGAGGCTAAAAGACTCCACAGAAAACACGGCTTTGCTATTCCGAAGCTGGTTAGAGGACGCAGGGCTCCCTCACACTGGCACTCTCAGTGGGGACTGAGGCAAGCAGGACGCACAGCTGGGTCACTCAGGATGACCCCGTGCACCGGCTTCCCTCTGCTCTCTCCCCTAGGGACACAATATTCCAGCACTTTCCCGAGTTCCTCAGTAAGGCAAAGGCAGCTCTGATGTGGGACGTTTCTGCCCAACGAAGCCCAGCAGAGACTCAAGAGACCAAGGGTTGTCTAGGGGGTGACCACAGAGGTGGTCTCCGTCTGACACACGCTAAAATCCCAGAAAGAAAGCAGACATTTAGCAAAACACATCCATTGTGTAAAGGATAGCTGAGATGTCATGAGAAATCCTGATGGGACACATGTCCATGGTATGCCAAGCACCCACATGCTGACCTTACATGCGAGTCTGCGAGTCTTTCTGGGGTAGCAGCCTCAGGTCTGCCATGTTAACTCTTTTTTTTTTAAATTTTTATTAGTGAAACACCATGAGGTACAGTTGTAGACTCACAAATTTTTGTGTTTCGGTTTCAGTTACACAATGATCAAGTACCCATCCCTCCACCAGTGCCCATTTTCCACCACCACGGGTCCTAGTATCCCTCCCACCCCCCATCCCCCCATCCCATGCTGACTCTGTGGCAGGGCATTCCCTTTTGTTCTCTCTCTCCTTTCGGGTGTTGTGGTTTGCAAAAGAGGAATTGAGTGGCAATCATGTTTGGTCTATAGTCTACTTTCAGCATGCTTCTCCCAACCTGGGAGGATCTACGATACCCATGACATTCTTCAAAGAAATGGAGAAAACACTCCTGAAATTTATATGGAACAATAAGCCCCCACGAATAGCTAAAGCAATTCTTGGGAAAAAGAAAATGGGAGGAATCAACCTCCCTAACTTCAAACTCTACTACATGTTAACTCTTTCTCCACAGCACTCTTGGCGCTTTAAACTCTTTACAACTGAAAAGGAAAATTGTTACCTGAGAGGAGAAAACAACAAAGGTGCTTATCAAGTTTCCACAGCAAAGTTTCTCCTATGCTCCCACATTGCGGGCCAGGATGAGGTTGGCTTATCTGCTGTCTCCTGACCCTAAATTTAGGCTCAGCTGCCCAGCAGAGAGCACCACACAGACACTGAACAAGTGGTGAGTGAATGAACGAAGACACGAACTACCAAACACAAGCTAACCACCAAACTAACCAACCTTCTGACTTCATCGTGGCAACAACCAATAACTTCAAGAGGAAGCAAAATAATCTGAACTGTATATTTAAAAATCCATGACTTGGAGCAGATGCTTTTCATCGAGAGAATAGGGCCCCAGGCTCTTACTCAGAGCTTATTTACTCTCATTTTGGAAATCATTATATAACAAACTTAATTATGCCGCCTTTGAGCTCACAGCCATTAAAAGGGAGCCAAGTAAAGGGAGGAGAGGGACTATTTATTACAGAGAGGCAACCTGAGAATCACCAAAAAAAAAAAAAGGAACTTGAAAGAATAGGAAAAACAAAAGAAAGCAATCCTGAAATGTCCCATAACACAGCTGCCTGGCGAGCATCTAAAACAGAGCAAGAAGCTGCTCAGACTTCAATGGGACCAAAGGACCCATCACACCTCTATAATGTTCCAAATGGGTACAGGGAACAAGAGAATGCAAAATTGGGATCGGGGCTATGTCCAAGCAGCAAAGCACTTGCCCTGCATGAGCAAGGCCCTGTGTTTGATTGTCAGCACCACCAAAAGTAGGAATAATAGTAATAATACAGAGGGGCCAGGAAGGGGACTCGGTGGTAGAACATCTTCCCTAAATGCATGAAGTTCAGGGTTTGATTCCCAACAAGCTGAAACTATACATATTAAATAATAATAAATAATAATAATATAAGACAGGGCTGTAACTCAGTGGCAAAGCACTTGTCTTGCAGATACAAGATTATGGGTTCCATTACCAACATTAAAGAAAAAGATGGTGAGGGGGGAAGAGAGAATGCAAAATTGAGCAGGAGCTAAGGAGCTACCATATTTTAGATAGTTTCCTTCTCCAAGAATTTAAAATTCTTCCCTAAGAATAAAAAGTCATTCATAATAAAATAATAAGTAAAGCATCAATACATCAAAAAATATACATTTTTTAAAAGTACAGCAAAACAAAAGTTAATATAAAAGCAAAACATTAAGTTTAGGAAAATAATACATTTTAAGGAGAGGAGTAAAACACAAAAATCAAGGAAACACCTTTAGAGGTAATAAAAACATTTATAAAATTTAACATCCACTTTAAAAATATTTAAAGAAATAACATGCTAGAAAGAAATCACTAATTTCTCTCTGTGCAATATTCTGATAAAGACAAAAATCTGTTGTCAAACTTGGGGGTAACCAAGTCTACACTGAGATGCAAAGACTTGCTAGAGGACTTTCAGAAGCCGCTGTTATAATCCCAGTTATGGTTTATAGCAGTAAAAGAATTCTGCTTATAATCAGCATAGATAAAAGTATAGAAGGCAAGACACTTGCCTGGCATGTGCTCACCCAGGGTCATAAGGCTCCCCTGAGCACTGACTGCCAGGGTGACCCCTAAGCACAGAGCCAGGAAAAGCCGCTGAGCACTACCAGTCTGGCCCACCCCCAAACAAAACCAAAACAATGCACACATGAAGCACTGCTGGTCAGTATTTCTCCCAGAGGCAGCCCAGGGCCAGTTTCTTGGTATTATTCAGGGTTTGAATACACTCACCCCTACCACATGAAAATAAGAATGCCACCTGGTGGGGCTGGAGCAGTAGCACAGTGGGTAGGGCATTTGCCTTGAACGCAGGTTCAATTCCCAGCATCCCATATGGGCTGAGCACCGCCAGGAAGTAATTCCTGAGTGCATGACCCAGGAGTAACACTGGGTGTGACCCAAAAAGCAAAATAAATTTTTAAAAAAATGCCACCCAGGCTGGAGAGTACAGGGCTTAAGATGCTTATTTGCTAGCACATAACTGATGCCAATCCATCCCATCCCATCCCATCTCCCCTACCCACCTGCCCATCCTTCCTGCCTCTGCCAACAACATTACCTATGTTCCTGGAGCACCATTAGGAGAACCCTGAGCATAGAGCCAGCAGCAGCCCTGAACACCTCCAGGTGTGACCCCCAAACAAACAAATGCACTCCTTTGCAAATCTGCAAATTGGTCAGTCAAGGAGCCTCAAGGGGGGCAGGGTCAAGGGGGGCAGGGTTGGCCAGCAACATTAGATGAGTATTCACAGGCCTCACATGACTGGTTTGCTATATCCCACAGCCAGACCAGTTGAATAACTCTAATGATTGACCATAGACAATGAATCTCAAAAAGCTTTCATTTTATTTTATTTGATTCTTGTAAGTGCCAAAGGGAAAAGTGGCACGAATTAGCAATAAGGAGGGAAAGGGATGGGGGGAATCTTAATAGGATTTAAAAACGCCCACTATTTAAAAGATATTTAGCAAGACTATGTCAACTCTATATTTAAGGAAATATTGGTGGAATTTGATTGACTGAAGTAAAACTCATAAAGTTGCTTTTATTTATCTAACCTTGAAATAGTAGGAAAGGCTGAAGCTTATTCTCAGTCCAAGCCTGAAAATTTCCCTGAAAAATCTCAGTTTGTTTTCCTCCCCTCAAAAAAAAGGTAGAATTCACAATGAGTATGTTTAGAATACAAATATTAGATACACTGAATCAATTCACCAAATTAATCAAAATTCACCAATTTAATTAAAGAGGGTTAAAATGGTAAACTAACTGAGTCAAAGGGATGCTGTGATTTATTAAACTTCTAAACAGTGAAGCAGAAGAGCTGACAGTAATTGGATCTGGCACTCCTAAGGCGACTTGACAAGAGGCAGAGTGATAAACCCCACTCCATAGACAGCCAGGGAGGAGTCGGCCTCATTGGATAAACAGATTAGAGGGGCAGTTCCAGTTCCCTGAGTCTGGGCTCAGACAGAAATGGACAGCAGTACCTGAACAATGTATTATCTCAACAGAGACCCTCCCCCCCTCCCCAGGTCAGGGGCCTTTGACAGGGCTCCAAAAAACTAGAACCCAGACAGGAAGAGCCACTGATGTAATTTCATATCTATTCCTAAGAGGAGGGAAATTATTTAAAGAAGAAAAAAAGTAATTATAGATTCAGGAATCCAAGGCTTGAACTCTTGTTATCCTATCGAGTGGAGGAAGAAATCAGTAGTCAAGTAGACATGTTAACAGAAAATTGTGATATGCTATCTAGACCCCATGTGCCTGAATGATGGAGATGTGGAAAATTTGGCAATAGCGAAAGGTTTCTAAAGAACACAATGACCAAAAATTAATTCAAAATAAATGTATCATGAATCTGAAGTGTTTCTATCGACGCTTGCCAGGGTTGCTTTTCCTGGGTGAAAAGAGGTCATAGCAGGAGTGTTAAAAAGCCCTGTTCAATGTTTGCCACTCAATGCCTCTTTTGCAGACCACAACACCCAAAAGGAGA